GTAAAAGATCAGAAGAAGAGAGAAAAAGGACAACCTGAAGCAAACTTTTACCGGCCCAAATTAACCTTATTTATTAAACACAAGAAACACCCATGGTCATCTTCACCCGGAGCTCAGAGGAAGGAAATGAAAGAAGTCATTGTGAAGCCAAAGAATGCCGAGCCATGAATTGGCATACTTCAATTGGCAGGCACAGCGGGGTGTGTTTGAAAGTGTGTACACACACACACACACACACACACACACAAACACACACACACACACACACACACACACACACACACTTTGTCGAGCTTTGAAAAAAAAAAGCTATTTCTCTTTCAGCAACAAAACAGACCCTGACACACAAAAGCTTTTACCAGTGACACAAAGCAAAGGTTTTTTTTTTCTTTCTTTAAAACTGTCATTGGTAGGAGTGAAAAAAAAAATTCACCATCACTTTACCAGCTGAAAGGGAGACAGGAGGAAAATACCTCCCACAGCAGCAGGTCTGAAGGTCAGGAAAAGCGAAAAGAAAAGTTTCATTGTGTCAAGATTCAAAAGCAACATTTGATCAAACTCAGTGTCCGATCCGCACGGCAACAAGCATCCCGTTTCAGCTGCATGTAGACAACATTTTGTCACGTTACACAATGTTCACCTGCCAGCAGGACGGCAAACACTCAGCAGGCGCTACGACGAGATGCTTCAGATCAAACCTGTTCTTGTTTATGAATGGTATAGTCAAAGCCCAGAGTAAAATTTCAATAAGATTCTGTGTCCAGGCTTGAAAACAGAGTTTAGCAGAAGCTCTCTGTCCAATTTAACTCAATTTTGTAAGTAACTGGCGTGGAGACGTTGAAAGAGTTGCAGAGAAAAAAAAAGATCTGCAATTATTTTTAAGTGACTGAGGCGTAAGGAATGTTTACTAATTGAATATGAAGCATTGATCAGATTAAAATCAGTCACTGGTGTGTATTATAGTCTAAATTAGAAGTGCAGAAAAACGATTCTATAGATCACAATCGATTCAAAAATCGATTTTAAAATGCATTTAAGATAAGAAAAAGCCAGGCAGCTCAGCTAACCTTGTACTAGTAATTTAAGTTACAGAATATTTTATTTTTTATTTTTGTTAAAGTGTAAACTGATGGAATTTGATACAGAACTTTTAAATAAATGTTCTGCTTGCACTGTCTTTTCTTCTCCTCCGTCACATCATTTAAACAGAGTCTCTGGATCGTTTGAAAAATTGGTTTTTCAATTAAAAATCAGTTCTGAATTGACTTGTGACCCGAAAACTTGGAATCTAACTGCTAGAAACTGAAAAATTCTAATATCTAAAAGCTGGTAGAGACATCCTGCAACATACTCATTTCACATTTGCATCCAAAAACAAAAACCATCATGATCCACCCTCATAACAGTTACAAACTCCTTTGCATTCCTCTGTTGTTTGCAGATGTAAAGGAATTAAATATGTGAAAAATTCAAGGGTTGACACTACTTAGAAATCAGTTTTTAATGTCCAAAGGATGCAGGGAGGTTCTGTATGAATTATTTAAGGCAGCACATTACCTCACAACCACTTAACATAACCGAGAGGAGACAGTTTGTGACCTGTGCTGGTCTCAGCACCAGTGTTTCCAGTTTGCAGAATGAGCTCATAGATAGCAGAGATAGTCCGCAGTCACAGCAGCTGAGAGCATCGCGCTGGGAGTGGAAACACGTCTCAACGTTTAGAACGGAAACGCTCTCCAGCTAAGTGGAAAATTTCTCTTTCAAGTTCCACTAAAAAGGTCTGAGTACCTCTGCGAGACCAGCAGCACTTGGTGTTGTGATGGTTTCCATCTTCGGCCGGTGAGTTCACATTCGGGGTGGAATCTCTGTTCGTGTTGACGATTCCTGAGGTGGAATCAGGGCTGAGAGGAGGGGGACACTCTGTGTGGATTGATGGGATTCATGGGGTCTGTGTGGAATAAAAGCAGAGATCTGAGAAAACGACCGAAGAGAATCCAGACTTTATTTGGTGGGAATGAAAACGACTTCGATCAACATTCTAATCAGAAACAATGCAGACGGCGTGTTCGATAGGAGCGACGTGGCTCGCCATCCAAAAACTCTCAAAAAGTGTAAAACGTCAAGTCAGTTGCATCCAAATTGGTTTTCTGTTGGTTTCTTGCACGTCCAACTCTCTCAAACTATGAGAGAGTTGCACCTGTGTATACAACATATCTTTGATTACATGTAGGCACAGGACAGGCTTCAGCAGCTGAAGCCTGTCCTGTGCCTACATCTCCCACAATGCTGTATGGTTCTGCAAATGTATATGTCTAATTTCTACAACAACTGACATTAACACAGTTACCTGATTGTGCCAGGCATACATTACGTATATACCTGGCAAATACGTAATACTGTCCCTTTAATACTGTATATACTGTAGTGGACTATTCTAATCAAACATTCAGAGTCGAAGCAGAACAAAAATAGACGCAGCTATGAATTCAACCAGCAGGTGAGACAGAGCTGCTGCAGGTATAAGTGGATGCTGATTTGCACCTGGATGAAGAACTGGATGCAGTGTGTTGTGTTGTGTTGTGTTGTGTTGTGTTGTGTTGTGTTGTGTTGCACACAGCGTTAGCCCCTCCATCCTGTGCATTACAGCCAACCTCACTGAGCGATCCTGCGGAAGAGACAGGCGCTCTGGAGAATCCACGGAGGCCTCTCCCTTTGATGGTTGGCGCTATGGAAACGTTCAGTCTGTCACCACGTCCCCCGTGGACGGCTCGTAATTACCACAGCCTCGTGATTGAATTGAAGTCGGGGGCTTTAAAGCCGTTGTTCCTGTTTCGCTTTTCAGATAATGGAATTGACTCGTCCTTCGAAGTGAGGGTGTCATTGATTTTGTCCTCCCTTCATTTTGTCAGCGAGTGTTTTTGCTCGGGTCTGGGAGATTAAATAAGGAATCAAACCAAAACAAAAACAGTTGATGTCTGTTGGAGTTCATACAGAGGTGTGGAAAAAAGATTTCCCCCCGTTTTCAGATTTCCTCTTGGTTTTCTTCTTTGTCACACTCAAAAAAAAACAAGAGAGAGAAAGGAGACTTTAAAAAATTAAGTTTAATGTGAAAACTTAATATATTTACTTTTAAATAGTGAAGTATTATAAAAAAGCAAAAAGAGAGGAAATCCGTAAGGAATTTTTATTTTTTATTTTTACAAAACTGTAGCTTATACGTTTGATGAACCTCAAGGAAAGCTTTCACTTGGTGCAAAATAAACCCTCAAATACTCAGATAAGTGAAGCGGCTGCCTACAACAACATGGTTTATCCTTTACGGCGCTCCACAGATCAACATTATTTCAGGAAACACGAGGATTACATAAACTGCACCCACAGCTTAGTGCCATCTGAAATATTCTGCCCCAATGAGCAAATCCTAAAATGCTGCTGCTCAGTTAGCGCCACAAAAAAAAAAAAAAAAAAAAAAAAAAAAAAAAAGCCAAAGGGTGTAGCTGCAGCTGGTTGTTTACTTCCTTCCATAACTCGGCGCGCCTAGCGACACACAGCTTCATGTTTTATAGGCTTCTTCACGGTAGGGTGAAGCCAAACACCGATTCCCACTGCACCCTCTGGTCGGGGTATGACAACGATGCCCTCAAAGTCACAGATGCTTAATTACAGTGATGTTATCATTAATGAACCGAATCGTCCTTGCGAAGGGCTCTATTAGAGGCTCGCTCAGAAATCCCTGCAGACTTTATGATACCCTGGTTTCCAATTACATCTGAATGCTTCGAACGCAGAGGATCAGGCTGCTTGTGGCAGAGGGCGGCACTCCGAGGCCGTTTCATGGGTTACAGCTTAAACATGATAAAAGGGTTTTGGGTTAAAAGTGAGCCAAGAGAAACAGCAGGCTAAGGAAGAGGGGCTAGCAATCCGCTGCCCAGTCCTACCCCAGGCGACCCCCACTCCAACACCGAACACTGAACCACCCACATGCCCCAGTCTGCCCCGGAACAATGCCAACCCCAGTGATGAATCGTTCGACTGTTCCCAAACCTCTTCATGCTACAGCCCCACAAACAGCATTAGCTTCTGCTCCAGGCCCCAGATAGCAAACCCACAAACAAAATACAAAAGAACCCCTTGACTTTTTAAATGTTTTTGTCTCACTTTTCTTCACTATTTAATGATTATTCGCTTAATAAGAGGACAGTTCCTTCAGTCTTTTCTCCACTGCTAATCCTTGATTAACTTGACAGGCAGCCAATCAGAAAGATGAGCATGACTAGTAACATTTTGATTTTTGCTAATATTGTCTAATATGAGCCAATCACAAACAGATTAGGTTTTATGATTAAAAAAAAAAAAACATTTTAATTCAGTCAATTTCTTTTAAATTTTGCATTTTTTTCCCCTTATCTTCCTTCCATCTTTCAGAGGAGCTAAAAAACCCCATCGAGCTCCTCTGTCTGCTCCCAGTACAAATATACAGAAACGCATCGAAAAACCAATCAGAGGCAGGAGGAGGGTCTTAGTGCTGCCAATCACTCTTGTGCTCACTCCCTCCTGGTTACTCTCTGCTAAACTACAGCTGGTTCACCACAACTTAACCTGCTACAAATAGTTAGCACAGCACTACCACTCACTGCAGATAAAAACCCCTGAGGTTTTTTTTTTTTTTGCTGACTTTGTTTGATTCATGAGCCGGTGACAGTGTGAATACTGTCACCATGTCGTGACAGTATTCACACTGTCACGACATGGTGCTTTTAATAATATGGAAATAAAACAAATTGTAAGAGTTATATACTGCAGCTTTAATTCAATTATTCCTACACCTGAATTATTTGGACACTTGGACGTGATAACTTGTTTTCAGACTAACGGCACATAAATCAAACATTCCCTCCGCATCCTCAGCAGCTTGTGATGCTGATGTTGCTCCGTCTACACCTTCTTCCTCTCCTCCTCCTCCTCCTCTCTCGGGTCGCCAGTCGCTGTGTGAGCTCCGTGTTTACTCCCAGGACAGGACCTCCCCTCCCCCCTCCCGCACCGACACGCCGTCCGACATGCAGGTGAGCCGCTTCCCTCTCAGAGTCGGCGCGGATCATCCGAGCGGCTGGAAGCGGCGCGCTTCGCTCCGCACAGAGCCAAGTTCCCTGCAGGGTTTTAGGATTCGGGAACCGCCGAGCGTCGGAGCAGGAGGGCTGGAAAAGGCAACAGTGTGGACGGGAAGGTGAATTGGCATTTTTATATATATATATATATATATAAAACACCATTTGGTTAGGCAGCTGGGAACTCGGGGTGGGGGGGAAATGCTCTTTCATGATTTTTTTTTTTCCGCAGAGGAATAGTGAAAGCAAGAAGGCAGAGCGTTAATTAATCCGAACACAAGTTGGATAAAAACAAATGATCTGAATCGATTACTTGTCTTTTGGTTTTTGCATTAATAAAGTCTCAGTGAAACTGTAAACTTTTACAGCTAATAATAACATGGTAAAAGATCATAGACGCCTAATAATTTCTTTAGTGTCTGGAGGACAAAAAATATAAGTATAAAACATTACATAAGTGAAATGCTTTATGTGCTTTTAATCATAAATATTTTCATCAGAGCTCCCTGATTTTCTACTCTGCCCAGTGCAAAATGTAAAGTTTAGAACAAAACAGGTTTTACCTGTTAATTATGCAGCCCATTACACTGTAAACATGATTTTTTGCTATATTAAATATTAGTCATTAAAATCTAATCCAGCTACTTAGTTTGTTATTGTAATTCAGCTATGGCCATTTTCTGCCAATATTTACCATTTTTGTTCTGCCTAAATATTTTCAATAAAGTTGAACCTGTTGCCTATTGGCTTATTTCATCAGTTTGGCATGTCAAATTATAAATGGTGTTTATGGGTTGTATTATAAATACATTTATAAACTGAATAAAATATAGAAACGATCACAAGACTTGTAGCTACGAGAGTTTGTGTCTGAGTGAGACTTAAATTTGGTTAATCTAGGCGTATCACTCATGCTAATATCAAACATGCTAACAAAACAAGCTTCAACTTATACCGTTCCAAGTAGCTATTTTTAAAATTAGGTTGGAGCTGCAATATTTACTTTGTTATTAAACCTTCATAATTACTACTCAGATAGATAGTATTCGATTTGCCTACGCCAGCTTAATTACATCCGCTACTCTATTTTGGTAACGGATCTATCTGAAGATTTCCATTAAAATTGACCTGCTTTATATTGGTGCAGTTTAACTTTAGCTACTTTTACTTTTTCTGTCCAGCAGCAAACAGAAAAGCACACGTGTTTATATGTTAAATTGCAAATAAATGAGTAAACTTAACAAATGTTAATAACAGTTATAAGACAGTAAGTTTTTGTCTTATAGGAAGAAATTATTACCATAAGTTTGTATCCACCTTTAGCTAGTTCAGTAATAGCACTATTGCTAAAGGCAGACTTGTTAGCAAGCTGATCTTTGTAAACCCAGAAGCATGTCACTTTGTTAGAATATATTTAAGAAACTTATTTCGAAAATACTTCAAACCCCATTTAAAATTTTTTTTTTGAAGTTACTATTTAACATAGATTGAGAAAACTAGCAAAATCATTTTTGGAAATTATGTAGAATTGAACATATTTAGTTTTAAAAATTGGTTGGATTTTGAAATTATATATATATATATATATATATATATATATATATATATATATATATATATATATATATATATATATATATAGTTCTTAAACTCACACCATATTTGCTCACCTTGCTTTTAAATGTGTAAAGCAAATGGCACATGATTGTTCCTATTGAGTGCACTACTTAACCGCTGACTGTTTAGAAATTCACAAAGAAGTTTGTAAAACCAAAACTGCATTATCTTTTTTTTTTTTTTATTAAATCATGAAGTAAGGGAATGAAGAAGCATAGGTGGAAAACTGGTGATGTGGATTATAAACATGGATCAGATTACACTTGTTCCAGCAGGTACCACCAGTTGTCAAGTGTTGGTGATGCCAGCCACCATCAGAGCTGCGGATCAAGCTTTTGTGTATTTTTAGAATCATGTGTCTTTTGGCTTACGCAGTCCTATTGTGTTTTTGTTATTGTTATGTCTTTTCTTAATCACTACGTCCTGCATTGAAACATTTAAAGATAGTACTCATTAGATTAAACAGAATTACGTAACAGGGAGAAGACAATCCCTCTGATTCTTTTGTCTTTTTTTTCCCTTCTTCATTTCCGTTTCTCAGGTGTGCAGTGTGTTATCAGAGACTTGTAAACCTGACATGTGTTCACCGAGTGAGACGGTAACCTGAGTCCTGTCACAGCGGTGTCCAGTATGCACGCTGTTGCATCACAGCTTTTAGGCAAAACTGATGTTAAAGGCAGCTGTTGCCACCCTGCTGTTGCAGCCATGCTGCTCCTGCTGTTTCTTGGCTTCATTCCCACAGTGGCCCCTTGCCCACCACACTGCCTTTGTGCCAGTGATATCATTTCCTGCAGTGGGAGCAATCTGTCCACGTTACCCTTTGGTCTTCCAAGCTACACCACAAGGCTGGACCTGAGCCACAACGCCCTAAGAGCCCTGCAGGTGGACTGGGTTTCCCAACCGTTTCAGCGGCTCACCACACTTGTTCTCAGCTGGAACTCCATAAGCCAAATCGAGATGGCCTCCTTCACTGCGACACCACGTCTCCTCCATTTGGACCTTTCATCTAACCAGTTGAGAGTTCTGAACTCATCTGTCTTCAGAGGGCTGACAGAACTTAAAGAGCTGCTCCTGATTGGAAACCAGATTGCCCAAATAATGCCGGGGGCCTTTAGTGATGTCAACAGTCTGCAGAGACTCTACCTCTCCACAAACAGACTAACATCCTTCCCCCTGGGACTTTTTGAGGACCCTGGTGGACCACATAACTTGACCTTCCTGGATCTGTCATACAACAGGCTGTCCAAAGTACCCGTCCAGAGCCTGCTGTCTGTCAGCCGCCATGCCGGAATATATTTGCAGGAAAATCCTTTGCTGTGCGACTGTGCATTGATTGCTTTGCTTGAATACTGGCTTTGGAAACAGTATCGCCCACTGGTGGATTTCCAAGTTGGATACCAATGTAGAGGCACTGCAGTTCGAGAGGTTAATTGTACACATCAGGATTTGTCAGGCATACCCCTGGAGGCACAAAGCTATCGCGTAGAGCCTGGCGATTGGCTAAGAGTACCCTGTCCTGGATTAGGTCTTCCTGTCCAGCAAGGGTTGATTGTCTTCTGGGTTACCCCAAGAACAGCACTGAATTCCTCAGCAAGTGATCTGAGTTCTCGTCTGTCGGTTTTTCCCAACGGCACGCTTGAAATCCAAGGAGCGCTTATGGAAGACTCTGGCATATATGAGTGTGTGGTTGCTCGGGGACGCTACTACGATTCAGGTGAATCTCCAGAAGCCAGGGTCATGGTTGGTAACTCAAGTGTCTCCTCTACCACGGGCTTGGCTCGTCGCAGCAGCGGTGAACATTTCAACACGGCGTTCACCACCCTTGCTTCCTGTGTGATCAGCATCATACTGGTCCTGCTCTACCTCTACCTCACTCCCTGCCAGTGTCGGGAAAGTCGGGGCGGTGGCTCCAGGGGCTGTGGCGCACGGGCCATCATTCTCTGTTCGGACCCCAGAGAGGTAGAATCAGGACAAAGGCGTGCCAACGGAAAGAGGGTAGCGTTCTTAGAGCCTCAGGCAGAGGACTCGGATATTAACGTCCCAAAAACACCGGTGATGACATTGGACCATATTTCCACTGAGGGAATTCTCAAAAATGGAAGTAGGACAGTGGGACACACCCTGACAGACCCTGCTCAGGAGGTGTAGTGAGGGAAAAGCACCTTCTTAACAACATTGTACTCTTAAAAGTCTTATTTTGTGTATTTGAAGTGGAAGGGAAAAAAACATTTTATGTAAAAAGTGAGTTATGTGAAGTAGCTTGTCCATTCTGGGTTGGGGAATTTGTCTCAAATGCAGTCCTTTAACAGAGTAGAATTTAAATTATGTCTATTCTCTGTGTGGTGTCTGTTCTATATTCAGAGTTCATATGGAAATGTCCCCGTTATCTCTGAGAATCGTTCATGCATGGATCACAGAGATCATAGAAACGTGGGAGGGCTCTTTTAAATTGGGCCAGTAGGGATATTTTCACACCTGACTGATGAGTGGAGTTGGAGGACTTTATCTGTCTACAGTGTCTAGCATGTGTTCTGGATAAAATTATAGTTTGTCCTTTTTTGTTAACTTTGTTTTTGATAACTTTGTTGTCTCATGGAATTTGTCATTTTAAAATGTTCCTTTTGGTTCAGCTATAAATCTATAAATGTTTCAAATCATCAATCAAATTTTAATATCAAAAACATCCCATAATGACCCACAGATTAACACATACTGCAGTTTTGAAATGACCATTTCAATTATTTAAGTAAAAAATCTGTCCGAACCAGTCAGACCACAACCCTAAAGGTGAAAAAGTAAACGCCCCCTTAAACTAATAACTGTTGTGTGACAACAACTGAAATCATTGACCTGAAATTAGTCTTTTACAAATAAACATAATTGTTTTATTCAGCCATATTGGAAGGTTCTTGAGCTTGAACGACCTGAGATCATGCGGCAGAATCTCAATCAGATTTAAGTCCAGACTTCGACTAGGCCACTCCACAATCCTACATGCAAACTTTTAAGAGACATTCAGAGGAGGACTCACTGGTACTATGGATCATTGTTCTGTCCAACCATAAAATGTTTTCCCAAAAGTCTTGAGTAGTAATTTGCACAGGGCGTATCCAGTAAATTTGAATTTAGCTCTCCAAAAAAAAAAAAAGTGTTAAACACAGAAAGTTCATTATTTTACAAAATATGCAACTGTTTTTTTCACATAGGGCCAGAAATAACTTTCCTCTTTTAATAAATGAACTCATCAGTGGGAAACTGGCTTTGCATGCAACAACATTATCTTTGATATTAGAATTAGCTTGATGATCTGAAACACTTTTGGGTGGCAAAAAAAGCAAAACCTGAAATGGGCACATATTTTTCATCAGCACAGATTTTATATACAGTCGCTCTTAACTCGAAACCTCATCTGTTTTTTTTGTTGTTTTTTTTTAGCTCTGTCCATTTAACTCAACTAGAATTCAGCGTTGGCTCAAAATAACACACAAAGCAATACATGTATTATGTTCACATAAAAGTGGGCCTATTGACTCTCAAATGACAAGTTCAGTGAAAATTGTTGCTTGGAAATTTTCATGGTAATGTGGGACTGTGATGCTCGGCTTGCAGAGACACAACGCTGAAGCATGTAGGAGTAATCTGTTTTTGCATTGGTGTGAATATGATCATGAAGAGTGCCTTTTATGAGAAACTCAGAATTAGTTTCAATGCAGTATATTTTAGTGGGAACTTGTCCTGATAAAAGTTGATGCAGATGAAACAGAAGCTGTGTTTCAAATACAGATGAACGGCGTCCTCACAGACCAGTCTGTATTTCTACCACTCAACGTTTTACAAAATGCTACAAGCCTGTGTTCATGTGCAGAACAAGACGGATATCAGACGATACAGATATCATCTCTACAGCCAAATCAATAGATCATATCTTGAACTCACTGGCAAGAAAAACAGCAGAAATGCAATTTTGCCCATACAGTAGAGAAAATGACTATTTGTGAGAAGTTTGAGGAGGCAACACCTAAGGAGTGATGGTGCCAAAGGCAGTAGCCAGGAAATCAGTCAGTGACGACAGTAAGTAAAAGTCACCAGACAGTGTTTGCCTTGCAGATGCATTATTAGACAACATAACTAGTTAGCTATTACATATTTAAGTAATATTGCACTATGTCCAGTAAACCATCAAGCAACTGATTAATCAGAAGTACACACACTCTGCTGTGTGTTCCACCAATATTTTTTTTCTGTTAGACATCTTATCTATTCCTAAAAAACAGCAGCTGCTAAACCCCCATTGTTTTCAAGAAACCAGCTTATGAATACCTTTGGAGCCCATCTGGGTATGAAATGTTGTGAAAAACGGATGGTAACTTATACTGAGTACCAAGTTTCTGAATGGTACTCTAATTTTTATATAGGTTTGATGAAGGGAAAATCTGGTTAAACAATATCTCATTTGAGTGGTATGCCATTGGCCATTGCGGTTCGGTACACTATTTTATGGTCCGGTGTATTCAGGAGAGTTTCTCCCCAACTGGACAGTACCACTGTCCTTTGGACCTACAACTGAAGGGGGTTCAGGGATGCAGTGGTACGGCTTGGCAGTATGGGCCACTTTTACAATGGAAACAGACAAACTACAGTACAGAACCACACCGACCCATGCCATACTGCTCTGTGGAAACGAGGCATTATGGATCCCGACACTCGCACAGGAAACCTTATTGGTTCGTGGGCTGTCCAGATAATTTTGTAGACAAGAAATCGTGATTTATCCTGCCAATTAGTTTTTCCTAGGACCGCCGTGGATGACGGGGACATGGAGAGAGCAGTTGAAACAAATATCACTAAATTTTATGATGTTCAAAGTAATGTTTGTGCTGCAAGAATAGCTTTTTCTGTGAGTTTTGTTGGCACACAATGAACTGGATGTTGATTAAAATCTGAGCTAAATAAAGAAATAGTCATAGCAGAGTGAAAATGCTAATAATAGCTAACTACACAACATAAAAACACAATTAGTATAACCTGAAATAATCCATGTCTTCAAAGGTGAGAAACATAAATGTCCACCACTTCCTGATGCCCTTTAAAACAATGTAACATCCTTGGACTGTGACTTATTTCCTCTCGAAGCTATCACAGCTCTTGGTTGGACATTTTTTTAAATCTGAACACCAGTTGGTGCATAATAATTTGGGATGCTGAATCTGCTTGTTACTCAATGTATCAACAAGTAATTTCTTTTTGTAATTGAGAAAGACATCTTATTGATGTTGCGCTGTTGTGGTTAGCTAAACTGGTGTTTAGTTATTTTTGGTGTCCCAGACTTATGGCCTTTTGTTTTTTGTTTCTTTATCTTGTGTCTTCCCTCATGTCACTTTATGTAGACACTAGCATGTTGTGTGACCTCAAAAACTGTTCACATGAAACCTTTACAGGAATCCTCATAGCAAAGTCCAAAGCTTTGGATGGCGATTTTTAGCAATTAAACTGGAGTCATTGGATGAGTCTTTACAACGCATCCTACCAACACTTAGCTTGTTGATTGGGGTTTTTGCTTTTAACATTTAATTTATTTTCCTACATTGCCTTTGGCAGTCATTGTGCAGTATAGTTCCTATTTCAACATCACCATTGAAATGACGCATGGAGAAAAAGAAGTGAAGTTCAGTTTTTCTTTTTGAAGCCATCAAAATAACCCAATGTAATTTTAGAAGATAAGCGTTTAAGATTAACGATAAAGATCTAAATCTTGTGTTCTGTGTCAATACATTACAGTTTACAGACTGTTTTTATAAGTGTAGAATGTCAACCGTTGTAAATGTCTTTGATTAGTCCTTAACAACTGTGTCCTGTTTGTAAATTAAATGTTGAACACTTCGCTGGCCATTAAAACGACTTTTAGTCATGCTAGAAATGACACCTTTGACATTAACACTGTTCATCATCATGTATCATTTGATTGAATACTAACGGAACACGTTTACATCAGATTTTACACTCAATCTTTTTAAGAGATTTGTCCTAGGGTTTTCTGTTTCCATTGTCCTATGTGCACAAGATGTAGTTGCCATTAGTTGCGCTTCCATCGACCATATAATTGTGCAGAATGACGTTTCAAAAATAAATTTGGTTAATGGAAACATGGCAATTTCTTGTTTTTTTTGATAATGTTTTGGTGTCAGGATGAGGTGAATTTTTTTGGCCATATATAAAGTGGTCTATTTAGCAAAACTGCAGTGGGAACACTTTTTATGTATCACAAGTCACATGATCAACAACGGATGTTGCCACTGGTGCAACCCACAAAGAAAACAATGACAGGAAGTAGTAGGAGGACATTGTGTTTTCATGACTTATTACATGAACAAACTTATTTATGTATGATTTCAATTGAGTTTCTTATTTAATGGATACACAATAATTGTGAAATTGTGTTTTTTTGCACACATTTGTTAAGGAAACTCGGCTATTGGCTTTAAGGTTCAGGTTCTTCCAGTAGGGCAATAATCTAGTAATAATAAGATTTGCAACTCAGATACACAAAAGGTTTTGACAAGAAAATAGAGTTAATGGCACTAAACCGTTTCAGCTTTTCCAACATTATGCAAATTGCTTTTACACCAGTTACTAGCCATACTAGGTTATCTAAAAACATGACTTACAAGGATCTAAACCAGAAGAATATAAGCCGAGTAAAGTGTGTTTAAAGAGAGAGTGTGTTCAATATACACTTTGCCACCAAATCGACTTAGTCAATTATTTACCCATGAAGTCTATTTTTTAAGTAAGGAGATCTACTGCTTCCTGCTGATGTTCTACCTCTGATTCAGAAGACTTCTTCACTTCTGAACATGTTTGTAAGTAAGAAGCTCATAAGTTCTAGTCAGAACAATTACTCTAATCGGACCATTAAGGGCACTAATGGGACAATTAGGATGCATGAGTCACTGGCCATGGCTTGGATCGTTGTTTCCTGATGATTCAAAGATGGTACTCAGAGTGCCTTACTATTGGAGCCACTTAAAGCATTCGCACAGAGTGTCTGCATATCATAGCATGGGATTAAATAATGTTGTCAATGGTTCATTTCTGTAACCTTAACAGGCACTATAGTACATTAGCAGTGCCACATACCAGATGTATTATGTCTGAATGTGTTTTTGACTGCTCTTCATCCTGCAGTCAAAGAGCGATCTGACTTTTTGGGCAGACCTCGAAGCTGCGGAAGATACAATTTTATAGCTTTTGAGCATAAATCATGACATGAATACAGTTTATTCTGCTCCTCCTTAAAGCACCAAGAAAGTTCAGGTCCAAACATTTGTATATTTTTTGCGGCTACAGCAGCAAGGCAAACACTTGACAATTCAATCTTGATGGATATTGTGGAAAATGTATTTGCCTACATCCCGTCCACCTTGTTACACACACCGCTGGACAGATTCCCTGAAGATCGATCTGTATCTGCTAGGACAGAAGGAGTGTTTGGGCTCGGCCCGGAGGCTTCAGTCAGCCCAGATCACTATCACACAAATCAAAGAGATGTTTGCTTCAATGCCCTAGAGCTCACTGTGACCCACATTTCTCCATCTTTCCTTTGTCTGATCATTAGCAGCACATCGCCACATCTGCTAATGTTTCTCCAGCTACACGTCCATGCTAGGTAACGCTGTCCTAACAGGGGCTTCTTTTCTGTTTTATGGTCAAGAAGAAAGTAGCAAAGGTGACATTTTGTCATGATAAATGAAAATGGAGTAAAATGTCTCGGTGCTGGAGGTGAGTCCAAGAACGACACATTTGTCCTGTCATGTCTGGCCGCTGCGTTTTGCCTTGTGTGTTTTTGGTATTAGTGGGATATAAATCAAAAGAGGCGGTTTGGGTGGAAAAAAAAAAAAGAAAAGTCATGTTACATCAGAAGGATTTGATAATGACAAACAACCTTTTAGTTAACAAATCGCCTTTCCAGAAATCCTCTTACAGGCTTCTGCCGAGGCTACCGCAAAACACTGATCCTTTTACAGCGGCTCTTCAGAGACTACACACCCGTTAAACTGTTCACTTTTTGTGATTGAAAAACATAAGATCATTATAAATCACTTTGGCTTTTGCCACCAATATTGCAACCTTTAAAAACATGAAATAATCAGTTTACATACATTTACTTACTGTTGTTTTAGCTTTAAATCTATCAGGGTCATTTCTTGTCTCTGGTGACTGCATAGATTTAGTTCCTTACTTTGAATAGGACATAAATTTCTTCCCCTGCAGTCATGTTTGTTGATTTGGATGCATGAAAAATAAAATCTTGCTTCGTCCTCCATCATCTTGCAGGTTTTTCAGTCCAGGTTGGTGGCTTTGTGGAAGTATTCATAACTCCATCCACTGTGACAAAACCTTATTTTTGTCACAGCCACAAATATTAATTTAGGAAGATGCACCCATATGGAAGCCAACTTTTCCAATTTATATTTTCTCCCAAAGATAAAAGTTTTTCTTTAAATTGTATGGAATTTATGTCACAATATGTGGAAAAAAGCTTTTTTTTAATGATTTATTATGATTAAATGCCATGAGCTCAAAGAGGAAGCAGGTGTAAGGCAGGTGCTGGACAGACACCTGAGGTATTCCTGTTTACTTTGTCGTGACATGTTGCTTTTCACAGGTCTGTAGCGTGACCTTCTCCATGTGCTGCTGGTGTCAGTCCTGTACAAAAGCCCAGAACACATTTTCCACTGCTATTCATCAGATAAAAATCTATGTTGTTACAGAGAGAGGGTTTATGATCTGCTGCCCTCAGTTAGGTGACTTATTTTTCATTGATGAGAATGAAGAAAAGCAGCAAATCTAAGGAGTTTTGTTTTCATTTTTTTAAGCAGTAAATGGCTAACTTGTTTATGTGGAAGCATATCTAAGAAACGGTAGGCATAAGAAAAATGACAACAGCATGAAAACTGATTTAAATGATTAGCAGGCAGTGTGAAGATAACGTGATTGGCTAACTATTAGCTCCTACCAGCTATGAAGTCTGCCTCAGCTTTGAAGGGATACTTCACAGTTTGTTGGAAAGTGAAAATACTGAGATTGGATAATTCAGTAATGGCCAGAAAGTCTTAAAAAAAATCTTTACAGTGCCTTTTCAGGAATACTATCGAATTTTGTAGGACATAACAAGAAAATACATGTATAGTTTAGTGAATCCAGGACTGATTGATTCCTAAAGATTCTGTAAAACAAATGTTGTAATCTTACAATTCATTTTAGAACAACAAAAAAGGGCAATAATTCACCCTAGCCTGGTAAAAAAAAAAAAAAAATATTACTAAAACTACAGGCAAACTACAATTCTAAAACAGGGCAGAAAATTGAAATCATCATTCAAAACTTCTCCTTTTCTCTGACTGGCTGGGTAGAAATTCTTTTGGAGGAATCCAAGTGAATGGGAGAAAGTCCAGACTGTACTCTGAAGTGAAAACTGAGTCGAGCGAAATTGCAGTAAACATGCAAAATTAGTCTTTTTTGAATTTCTACTAATTACTGCACAATCAGTATTAATAGTCCAACAGAGTAGTTTGCAACAATGCCAATAATAGCCTCCTGTTGTCTTTATGGCAAAGTGTTTTGTGTTCAGTTAATTACTATTGTCAGAGTTGTGGTAAGGCCTAATATAATATGCTGTCCAAAGTTCTGTATTAATCACAGATCCTATTAAATATGCAGTAATTGCATGTGGAAATATTACCCAGCACTACAGAATCATTTACTCTATGAGTCTAATGTAAATGCAGTCATTTCCTGACTATTCATAATTCACCTGCACAAAATGGAAGTGTGGGCTGGAACTAAAATAGGAACAGTAATGAAAAACAAAAAAAGACAATGGATCCATTTAGCAAATTGTTCCCATTGTTTAATTAACCTCATGTTCTTACTCGTGTTGCTGATGGATCATCTCTAATCCAGTCTACCAGAAATCTGGACAACACACTTTAAGGCAGTCCTGTAATAAAAGAGGCTCTAGTTTCTAATCTGCAAAGGACTTTTAAAAAGGAAATTTTGGTCCAAAATCCGAACAACCTGCAGATGTTGATATCGTTTGGCGTTGATCAGGTAATGTTTGCGCCGCATGCTTATTTTGAAGTTGCATTGGCAACATACGGCTCTGTGAAAACGCATTTACCTCTTAAATATGTCTTCCGTTTGCTTTTATGTCATGTCTGAATGTTTTAGATCAGTAAATACATTTTTAGTAGCAAGAACCACGTAACAAAGATTTGAATTTAAAGGTTTAGTGAAGGAAGGGCTCAAAGGGACGGACAGATGGGGAGACTTGCTAATTGAGAATTGGACGAAGGCTCAGCGGAGCGCTACATCCTCCATTTTCATAGGTTTGGACTTTCTTTCTGAGTTTTGTGTTCCCTCAGAAACTCGTGTCTGTCCTCAAGAAATGAAATTCAAAGGAAGAGAGAATAAAAAAGGAAAGGAAATGGAGAGAAAATTAAGTAAGGGGAAGCAGCTGCCTACTCATTTCTTTGAGAAGAGAGGTGAGCAGCACTACTGAGCTGTTTGAGCTCATCTCAGAGGGAAGGCACTGGCAGCACGTAAGCTCTTTTTAATGGTTCCATTTTAACTAATTTACTACCAGCTGTTATCGTTATAATTGGAAACACCACCGTTATCGTCGGCAAATCTGAGCATAAGACCAATAAAATAAAAATCTGCAACGTTAACACCCAGCCAGCTATCATAAAACAGAGGAGGCCAATATCCTAACATTAGTGAATGATGAATAAGGAAAAGACTACTTTCAGCTGTAATTACTACTTGGTGCTTACTAGCGCTACATTACGGTTACTGAGCTTGTATTTGCCTTGCAATACTTAAAGGCCAGTATTATGTATTTCAGTAGCTCAATCAAGTAGCTATGTTACCTTCAATTATTATAAAAATGCTCCATATATATCAAACATGGCTTAAAAATAATTTGAGACCATAATCCAGCGTTTCTCAACCCTGGTCCTCACTGCACCCTGTCCTTCATGTTTTAGGTATTTCCCTTCTGCCACACACCTGAATTGTATCTCTGGGTGATTAACAGGCTTCTGCAGTACTTGATGGTCATGCAATCATTTGGATCAGCTGT